ATTCTGTATTCATTTGCTCACCTCTATCAATCAGGTTGTCTAACTGTTCCCACAGCATCATGCTGCCGAAGCCATGCTTTACTGTGTAGTTGACTGTCTTTAAACAAAAGTTTCATCCTATTGCTCCTCCTTAAAGGTCAGATTTATAATCAATAATCACCTTGTCCTCCATGTTCTGCTCCAATAATGGATCTCACTGCAAAAACATCAAATATTACCAAATATTTTGGTGCAAATGTCTCAGTACACTTGAAATGAAACAAAACTAATTTATAAATAACTTTTTTGCATGACATACGATCTTGTTTTGAGTCAATAATTAATTAATATTCATGAAAAAATTCTAGTTCAATTGGAAAATTATTTCACTTATAAGATGTGAAAAATGTCAGAATAATTTAATTTGGTTTATTTTCATTTTTCTCTGTTCTCTGATGGTTTTTTTTTAACAAGATCTTCACAGAAGGTGAATTCAAATGCATGCCACACTTTCAGCTTTCTCTGTAGAAATATTTTAAAAATTGCATCCTGTTCTTCTCTGGTCTGCGCTACTTCACTGCAGGCTGCAGATCCTGCTCTTCTTCTCATCATAAATTACAGGATCACCTCCCGGTTTTCCTGGTGATAATGGGAAATAATGGGATTCTTCAGCAGCTCATTACACTCTAAGAGGCTGTTGTCTTCAGCTGTGCTGCAGGAAGGGTTCAGGGTAATCATGTAGAAACCCTGAAGGGTCACACAGTCCTGGTGAAGTCAGAGAAACCGACTGAGAGCAGAGCGGCTCTCCGGTTCCGCTCCGTTTGCTCTGAAGACTGAAGATCGTGTCAAGATAGTCTGAGTCTTTATGGAGCAGGAGAAACAGAAGACAAGGGGATGAAAGGGAAGCTTGGTTAAAGGATAATACACAAGATTAGAGTAAAATAAATGTCTGGGGACAAAAAAGAGCCGTTTACTTTGGGGAGAAGACTCAACAAAAGTGCTAAAAATAAGTTTCAAGACAGAAACTTGTAATCGTTCTCACTCATCAAGGGATTTTCTTGAGAAAAGTTGCTGAAATTGCATGTTTTCTTTTGTCAATATGATGAAGGATGTCTGTAATTACGCCTTGTTGCTTCTGTGTCTGTGATGCCAACCCACCCAGAGAGATCCAAGGACCAGCCTGCCACCAGAGGGACGTCAGAGAGGAGGCAGAGTGTTTAAATGCCTGCAGCTGGAAGGACACCATGTCAGCGTTGTTCACCTGGGCCTGCCTGCTGCAGCTGCTGCAGCTGCTGCAGCTGCTGCTTCTGCTGCTGTGGACCGGCTCGGCCGCGCAGGACAAAACCCCCGGTAAGACACACAGCGCCTCTTTGTCCCGCAGGCCGGGTCCGTCCGGCTGCAGGGAAACGTAAGGAAAAGCTTTCTGAGCAGAACCCGATACTCTGCAGAACAAACAACACACAACCATTCAGGTCTCCAGCCACACAGAAAAATCCCTTTTTAGTCGGGTCAAACTCTGGCACCGGGCTGGAAAACGATCCCGGTGCTGCAGCCTGCGAATATTAATGTGGACAGAAATTTAAAACATGGGAGGAGAAACAGGACAATGTGAAGGAATCTCTGCTTATATCTTTATCTCAGATTTGGTCGTAATTTATATAAAAAAACAAGATTTGAGGAGAAAATATATTCCTTCTGTCAAACCAAATACTTTTCAGTCGTTGCGTCCTGAAAAAACAAACTTTTATCATGTTTAACTAGATTTTCCTGGTTTCTAGTGCAAATACCTCAGTACACTTTAAATAAAATAAAATATAACTTTTCAGCAAGATATAGAAGCTTATTTTAAGTCAATAAGTATTATTTCAGATGGCAGATTGTTTCACTTATGACATGGAAATGTCTTATAGTGAATAATCTGCCAAGTTTCATCACTAGAAGGAATTATCGTCTCCATCTTGTGGAAAACTTCCCTGTAAGTTGGATGGATTTTGTGATTTGTGCTTTTGCAGAGCAGTGAGGCTGGAAGTAACTCATTTCTGTGGCGTTTAAGGATAAACGTGGCAGAAGTGTCTGGGTCGCGTTAGCTGGTTTCCACAGCTAACAGAACCAGGATGCTGACTCACCAACAGCTCACTGGGAAACATCCTGGAACTCAAACAAATCATCTCCTCAAATATTTCCCTCTCTAAATGCACACGATTTGGTTTTTCAGCTTTAATAAGAACCTGCTACGTGTTTTTCCTGGCAGCTGCAGCCTCTGGTCCTGGAAAATGAAGTAAAACTGTTCAGCTCCCGTCTTCATTCGAACCCAACGTACGTGCATAACAGCACGTCTGAACCACACCGGGACTGGCTCGCGTTTTAATTGTTCCTTTGCCAGTATCGTATACCAGCTTGTTTCTCCGTCCATAAAAACCAACAGCCACCTTGATCTCAGACGTCTGCGGCGGGATCAGATGGCAGATCTTTGTTTCAGGCTTTCACTGCAGCAAGAAGCTGAAAGCTCAGGAGACTTTACAGAGCCGGTCAGTGTCTTCCTGTTTCTGCACCGGATGCAAGAAGCAGATCGCAATAATTACAGAAACCAAGAGGAGTGCAACACATTACACTGCAGAAACATCAAGTCGTTTAAAGTATTTTGGTCTAATTTCTGGTCCAAATATCTTATCACTAACTTATGTGTAACTTTTCAGCACAAGATATTAAGAAACACTCCCACTGAAACTAGTACATTTAACATAAATATTAAGGAATTATTGACTTAAAACAAACTCATATGTCTTGCTGAAAAGTTACTTATAAGTTAGTTTTTTTATTTCAACTGTCTGAGATATTTGTACCAGAAACTAAACAAAGGTTCTTGATAATATTTTGAGTTTTTCAATGTAAAGAGAAAAATCAGAAGCTGTCATTATTATTTTAGTATTTTTTTATTAATTCAGAGTAAGTTGAACCTGTCCTGTGTAGATGAGGTTTAATAAACCCAACTTCTCTGAAACATCTGGAAGAAAACAGATCCCTGTTCTTCTGTGTCTAGGATTAAAAAGTTTCATTTTCGAATGTTAACCCTGTTAAATCGGCGGCGTTTCGGAGCCGTGTTTGGCTGCCAAACTCTTTTACGCCGATTTAAAGTTGAAGGCGTTTAACAGCGCCGCGTCACAGGTGGTGCTGACAGCTGCTCTGCAGGTCCAAATGAGCTGTGGGTCAGAAACGCTGGCAGCTGCAGCTGGGGAAGGCGGAGAACAGGAGAGGAGGGAGACGAGCCGCTCCTGTGTGAACACGCTCTGCAGCCAGGCTGGAGGAAAACCAGGATCTGCAGCTGAGGCCCAGATTTCAAATGAGTCTGCGCTACTGTGTGAACATACAGGAAATAAACATCAAGCAGAGATTATTAAATACCTGAAAGGCCTCTTATTCTGCATCTGACCTCATCTCTGTCTGACTCACAAGTGAGTAGCACTAAAGATATGCTGGTGCAAGATACCGTCGAGTTAAGAGAGTTTCAAAACGTTGCAGTTCTCCTGTCTTCATAACTTCAGATTATAAACCCAGCAGACACAACAGGGACAGATTATTTCTCTCTGAAGGAAAAACCAGGTGAGGAGTCAGAGAGGAATCAGGTTCAGGATGTTTAAGTTTATTAGAGCTTTTTAGAGTTTGGAGCTTTTTAAAAATGTGTTTTTATTTTATTTTTTTTTAAAACTGTCACAGTTTATGAGAGATAATCTGTGATCAGATCAATCTCTGCCTTCTAGTGATTTCACAGCAAAAACACAAATGTACCCAGGATTTTAAAACTAGTTTCTAGTTCAATATCTAAATCAATAATTTCCTATATTGATAAAAAAGTATCAGTTACGAGGATATTATAAAGTATAATATAGGAACAGTGTTTTGTTTTGTTTCTGATGATATTTGCTGCAGAAACAGACAGAAATCCTCTGTAACACTTTGTGCTTGAACCACGCCTCCAGCCAAACTGGTCTGATGTGTCGCTTGTTTTCTTTTAAACTGAACTCAACTGCACATGATCAAGAAATACTTAGCTTTATTAAATAAAGGATGCATTAAGTCAGACCCAAATCAGGCCAATTATTCAACTTTCCCTCAGAGAAAAGCCAACAACAAGTCTGTGGGTTTTTAATGAACCATTTAAGTCGTGTTTGCCCTCAAACGCTCCACAGTGGTGGAAATTACCAAACCTGCAGACACAAGTTCAGACCAGTGAGCAACATGTTGATCCTTTAAACCTCACACATGCATCAAGGCCTGTCAGTTTAACGCTGTTTGAGGTTTGTCTTCAGATGCTAAATGCTGGGAGAGGAAGAGAAGCTTCCTGATGAGAGCCGTCCTGCTGCGGTTTCTCAATCTGCAGCCAGAGAGAGCTGGAGGGAAAGACATTCACTCCCTTCAGCTTCCACACTTCAAAACTAAACCTGTGTTTTAAATCTAGTGCCTGTACTGGACCTGTATCCTGCTAAACACGGCCCGGCTCATATTAAACTACAATAATTACAGTTAAAGGTCGTAACACATCTGGTTTGTCTTTAATTGATGAATTTGGGGATTTATTTGAATTGAAAGTTAAATTCATATCTGATAATTCAGTGTCAGTTTTTCATAAATTTCCAAGAATAAATGATTAAATCCCAGTTGATGTTTAGTAATAATAAGTTTCATTGAGTCAGAAAGCTGGCAGTTTTAGCCGATGGAGACGATGTTCTTCCACCGTCTCCATGTTTTAGAGACTGTGTTGTTTTTGCTCAATAAAATGTGGTTCCATAAAGATATGAATGTTTCCTGAGAGGTTTGTTTGGTGCTGATATTCGTGGAATATGACATGATCAACATAACAAACCCACATTCCAACCGTTTCCAGGTAGACGAAGGTTGGACTGGTTTCCAGAAGGCAGAACTTCCTGATTCCTGGAAATCCCTCCTGAAGGATTTCAGATCCATGGATGGTTTCTGCTTCCTCATCAACTATTGGGCAATCATGTCAGTGTTGGCACCATTAGTTCTCCTTTTTTTGGTCATTATGAAACCAAATCCTTCTAGATCTATTTATTATAAATACTGAAAATATAGAGCCACAAAATCCAAAACTAGATCATCAGCTGAGTTTATGATCACATATGAAGAGCTGTTGATCCATAGGTCATAAATACTGTTTATAGCTGTGATGGCTCTAAATCACCATCTTTATCTGTCTGTAAACATTCAGAGACTTAAGAAACATTTCGGTTGTTTTCAGACCTGATAGTTCTGGAGACCCGGTTCCATTGGAGGCCAGAACTGGATCATTTGTTTCCAGGTTCTCTTCCTCTCTGCTCTGAGTCAGACCAGCCTGTTCCCCTCCGGGCCTGTGGGGGCGCTGCATTAACAACCACTGAAGGAAACGACATAAAAACCTCTGAAGACACTGAAAGCAACTTCCTTCTTCTGACACAAACATAAACGTGGCATCAGATTTTAGAGGCTGAGGATTTCTCTTTAGTCTTTGGTAAAAGACAACGAGCCATTTCTCCTGTTAGCATGAGGCTAGCTCATTTGTTTTGGTTGTATTTACCCAGAATGCCCTGTGCTATAGTCCACTTCCTGCTTCTGGAGCAGACTCTGGTCCGCTTGGCGTTCACATATACATTCGAACTGCACCAGAGTTTGTTTTATTAGTTTGATTAGCATTCACATCTCCCCACATGAACTGGACTTTCCAGATAAACGGGCTGAAGTTTGATTAAAGCGGATTAAGGTTTGGAGGAAAACCTGGCACTTTGGGAAGAAGGAACGTATGTGGAGTGATTTCTGCTCTCTGTTGCCTGTAATCTCACCTCAGAAGGATTAATATGCAGCTGCAGCAGCCAGGAGGCAGCGTCACGGTTGGATGATTGATTTGTCATCCCGACGTGAAGCAGAGCGTTCTCAAGCCGGGAATATTTGACCGGACAGAAAGCGGCTCCGGTGGCTCTGCTGTGGTACGCAGAGCTCCGCCGGCTCGGCCCGGTCCACTTATTTCAGAGCAAAGTTTTTCTGAGTGATCTCATCCTGGAGGAAAAGGCCACGTGCCCAGGGGCATTCTGGGTAACCCACAGCAATAAAAACGACACATCAGGGGAAATCTTCATAAAAAACCTACAAATAACAACACAAACCAGTCTTTATATGGCAAGACATTACTGACAATAATTAACACAAAATAATTATGAGAAAAGAGATCAAAATCACAACAAATCATGAGAGGCGGAGTGATATTTTTAAAACGTTTCCATCACTGGGTTGAGTAAATGTTTACTTATGGCAAGCCCTTTTAACATATAATAGTAACAAAAAGTATATTTTTAAACTAAATATCAATGTATCAGTTCTTCCTGGTGTAAAAACTCCATATTTCAGAAATCCTGAATATAATTAATTTAAGGACCATTTAAAGATTTTGAGATTTTTTAATTTTATTTTTACATCTTCAGAATTAATGTCTTCTTCTTATAATTTGTTTCTCGTTTTGGTCGTTAACATTGACTATTTGAACTGAATTTAATTTGTGTTTGTTCTATTAAAAGCTGGTTCTGGATTAGAGTTTAGTGTTTATGTGGTCCAACGTTGCCATCTGGTGGCCGGAAGACTTAAAAACCAAAATGAAGATTTTTATTCTTTCTTCAAAGACAGCATTAGATCTGAAGCAGCCTGACTTCTGTCCTCATGTCAGTGGATTGCAGAAGTAAATCAGATTTTCTATAATGCGGCGCATTAAATCGTGTTGCATTGTCCCTTTTAACCTGAAGTTACTTATCTTTACCATGTTGTGTTCCAGATGTTGCGGTGATCTGCTCTAACTCGGAGGACTGCGTGCTGCCTTGCTACTTCCAGCCCGGCCAGAACGAGATGGTGCAGTGGTTCCGACAGGGGGCGCTGGTCTACAGGTTCGACAGAAACGGCAGTGAGGAGGCGTTCACGCTGCCGGAGGTGGCCGATCGGGTCTTCGTCTCTGCGCAGCAGATTTCCAACGGGAACGCCACCCTGACCCTGAGGCGCAGCGCCCCGCAGGACAGAGGCCTGTACAGCTGCCAGGTCCAGACCTCAGGAGGTCAACACACCGCCAAGGTCATCGTCAAGGTCGAAGGTCAGCCACAGGAAGAAATGATAAGATATTTCTGCTGGGTGAATCCAGGATGCGGCTTGTTTGGGTCTAATTTTAATTAAACATGCTTTTAAGATGTTGATGACATTTTCTCTGCTCAGGATTTACTTTATATTTCTTAACATCGTGTTTAAAACCTCATAGTTCTCATCCAAGTTTCCCACAAAAACACATTTTATCAAGTTTTATTAAGTTTCTAGTGCAAATATCTTACTGCACCTGAAATAAGACAAAAATAACTTAGAAGTAACTTTTTGCAGTGCAAACCCAATTTAAGTGATAATAAATCTTAATACCTAAATGTAAAGAAACAGATTATATAGAGAGTAAATAGTAACTGTGTATTTTGCCCTGATCATGGATCTATTTAGTCTATTCAGTCTGTTCCCCAGTCGGTGGTTTCAGGGCTGCAGAGCAACAATGTTCCAGTAACTTTAGAGTCTAAAGTTAGCTGGATGACAATGACAAACTATCAGACTATATCAGGCCCTGACCTTTAGCGCCTATCAGCTGAGCTCTGATGGCCGCCGTTTTGCTGCAGCTCCGATCCGAGGCCTGTTCCTGGAGCATTCCCGGCTCAGCGGCTACGAGGAGATCAAATGCTCGGTGCCGGACGTTTTCCCGGCTCCGCGCGTGACCTGGGCGACGGAACCGCCCACCTTCGAAGACCTGCGGCCCGTCACGCGCAAGCATGTCAAAGAGAACGGCTTGTTCTCTGTGGACAGCCGGCTGACGAAGCTGAAGGGCCAACCCGACCTCATCTACATCTGCAAAATGTCCACTTCCTACAGCCGGTCGACGTGGACCGCGTCGCTCCGGGAGAAAGGTACAGAGCAAAAACAAGATATTTGCTCCATGTTCACATGAAAAGTACACAAAACACAAGTCAGTCCATCTAAACTCTGTTATTTAGTCATTTAAAATCAGGTTCTCCTCGTTCACCAGTTTGTTATGGTGTCCCACAAGGTTCTGTCCTCGGTCTGCTTTTCTTCTGTTTCTTTTTAAAAGTTTCAGGAAACATAACAGCCGTATGATGTTATGCTGATGACACAAAGCTTTATTAAAGCTTTAGGCTAGAAAATTCTGATCTGTTTTCTGACAGACTTTAAGTTGACAATCATATTATTTTTTCAGCCAATCAGATCTTGGTTCCAAGAAGCCTCTGTATTCGGCCTGGTCGGGGAAAATGGCAGACCTGATACTTTGACTGAAACATTTACCTGGTGTCTTACAGAAATAACAGGAACTGAGGGACGAGACCTGACCATTCGCTGCTTGGCTCCCACGTACCTGAAGAACCCGTCCCTTTACTGGACCTTCTCCAGAGGAGACAACTCCACCCTCATCCTCAGCTACGACAGCCAGTCGGACCGCAAGGTCTCTGCGCCGTCCTGGGATGGCCACCTGGACCTGGACGTCTACAAAGCCAAGTTCGGAGACGGCTCTCTGCGTCTGATGGAGCCCAGACACCCGGAGCACAGCGGCAGCTACGCCTGCGAGTTCTCCGAGAAGTTCAGCCGACACGTCGAACGCATCCGCGTCACCATCAGCGGCCCTCACGGTAAAACCCGCTGCGTCCGATACAGACTAAGACATGAGTCCAGAACAAACTGTTAGGAACTTTGTGTTTATTTCAGATGGAAATATTCTTTTAAACATTTTAAATAACTCTTTTTTTTAACAATAATCTGAAATTTATCGTACCAGCAGGTTAGCTGCAAAAAATATGGACAGAAAAAAGTTTTAAACAATTAGAGAAAATAAGGCAAACCCTCTCAACATTAATATAAATCACATTAAAACTCGAATCAATGATCCATTTATTACTATAAACTGCTAATGTTGTTCATATCCCATGGTTAAGTAATGACCTCACCCTGACCCCAACCTGACAGTCAGAGAAACTAAAGCTGCTGTTCCAGGTGTGGATGGGGATCGAACCCATGATCTCTGGTTAACGAGACCAACGCCGTACCGCTTGGCCACCGCACCCTGACTGCGATACGCAGATCAGGTTGTTCACTCATAAAGAAATGAAGAAAATGTAGAACTTTCACGGATAGAAATGCATCAACATTATCTAAAAGTTTCATTTTATCAGTAAATATTTAAATAGTTTGATTCAGAATGTTGAGATGAGAGAAAACTATTTCTATTTAAATTATTTGTTCTCTGTCAGGAATCAGCTCTGAAAGTTTACTATAAACTATTAAACTCTTTAGAGTTTAATAGTTGCTCTTAGCTGAAAGAAAAACCTGAAAAGTGTGGCCTGCTCGTGTATTTAGCCCCCATTAGTGAACATGTTGCCAGATTGGATGAAGAGCTTCTGAAAACAAAAATGATGCAGTTTTACATCACATTCTCTATTGGATTCATGTCTGGACTTTGACTAGGCCATTTTATCACACCCATATGCTTTAATATAAAGCATCCTGCTGTAGATTTTGTATGTTTTGAGGGTTTTTTTTAGAATAGAAATGATTCTGTGGACATTTTCCAGGATTCATCTCCATCATCTTCCCTTCTCTTCTGGCCAGCGTTCCTGCTGCGCCGTTGCAGCTGTTTCCGTTTTTAATTAGTTGGGATACTGCTGTCTGACCTTCTGAGCAGCTTTCTCCCTGACTGTCTGCTCTGATCCTGGATGGGCTGAAAATAAAAACCATGTATTGTCCGGTTCTGTCCCAGCCGGGCTGTGCGTTGTGTTTCTGAGCGTTGCTGCTTCTGTTGCGTAGCAGGGCAGCGCGCCGCGGTGGAGAAGCCGTCCTACTGGTGGATCCTGGGTGTGGTGGCTGCTGGCCTGGTTCTGGTTCTGGTGGGATTACTGGCCTTCCTGAAGCTCAGAGGTGAGACGGCAAATTAACTGAAAACTCCAGAATATTCTGCACAGTTCTGAGGAAAAGCCAGTTTTGGTCTCGGCAGACCTGTAATTTCAGTAAAAGCAGCTTTTCTGTCTGGTGCAGGAAATGCGACGGCGACAGTTTCTGCAGAAATTCACTGCAAATATTCAGTTCTGCTCTGAAAACTTTCATTCATACAGAAATTAAAACGACTGAATGATGTAAACATACAGATAAAAAAATTAAAAGAAGATCATTTTATTTTATTTCTTCTTTTAAACTTTGATTCTCTTCATCAGTTGTATTTTTAACTTTGGATTTTTTTATAAAACGTTTGTTTTTTAAATTCTTCACATTATTTTCTAACTTGATTTTAGTTCAATTATTCAGATTTAACTGGATGTGTGTGTGTGTGTGTGTGTGTGTGTGTGTGTGTGTGTGTGTGTGTGTGTGTGTGTGTGTGTGTGTGTCCTTGACTTCCAGGAAGAGACAAGAAGCCCAGAGCTCATTCTGATGAAGAGACGGAGCTGAACAGGGTCAAAGGTCAGTCTCCATAAACACAAACTGAATGCGTATTTAAAAACCTCCACCAGGAGGCGCCAGAGGACACCTGCTGTAATCAGTCCCCTGTTGCTCTCTGATATTTAATGGCGAATTATGGAGAAATTATGATTAAAATGTAGATTTTTATACTTTATAAAATCCTACATTCACATAATCTTATTTTCATGTCATCATTCATTTTAGAAAACAATTGTATTTTGATGCAAACATGAATAAATAGATTATTTTCAGTCATTTGTTTTTTGATAAAGTCAGATTTAAACAGAATTATTTAGGTTTTATGAAAATATATAAACCAGGAATAAATATATTTCTGGTTTATAATATGTAATAAATACATTTATTATATAAAAAATGCATTAATATATTAATGTTCTAAAATAAAGGCTTTAATCAGAATTTTATAAAGATTTCTTCTGCAAAACCACAAAATCTTATCAAGTATTTTTGGTTTGGTTTCTTATAAATAACTTTTCAGAAACAAATAGGAGTTTGTTTTAATCAATAAGTTCTGGTTCCACTGGCAGATTATTGCAGGTGTCTGAAGTTAAACAATATGTCAGAGGAACTAGTCTTTAATTTGATTTTTTAAAATGAATTATTAACTTAAATCTTGCTCCAGTGACTTGCTGAAAAGTTACTTCTAAATTAGTTTTTTCTCATTTTTAGTGTCTTAAGAAACTGAGAAACTGTTGTTCTTGAAAATGGAAAAACAACCAAAACCAAGCAGATCATTGAAAACTGAAGTGATGTTTTTTAATGAGTTTGTTTTGTTTCAGACGGAGAATCGCCCCAGTGACCGGCTCATCGGACTGAACACTGAACTGAAACATTCGCCTTATTTTACACTTTTCTCTGGATTCAGAAGACGACGAGCTGCAGACGCTCAAACTGGACCATGAAGTCCCAAATAGCTGCTTTTTATTTTCTCATCACAGAATCTTTGAATGAACTTCCTGGATTTATTTTTCTCTGCTCTGCATCCAGAGTCTGAACGTTGCTGCAGGGAGTCCTGACGAACCAGGAGCGCGAAAAACGGCGTTTTGGAGCTTAAACTGGGGTTCTGTTTAGAAAAAATGAGTCGTCAGTATCATACACTGCAAAAACACAAAATCTCATGAAGCCTTTTGGTTCAGTTTCTAGTGAAAGATGAAACCTCAGCATCACAGGCCCTCCGCCGTGCCTGACAGGAGGCACAGGGAGCGTCTGCTGATTAAAAAGTCATGAGTTGAAGTTTATCGATCATCCGTTTGCTGCGGTTCTCTATCATTTTGTCTCTGTACCTCATCCTCACTGCGCGCTGCAGCAGCAGAAACTCAGGTCCTGTTTGCTCTGGTTTTAAACTAACGATCCTCTGAAAGACGTTTCCTCAGAAATGCCTTTATGTGTTTTTATTTTGATGCCTTTGGGGCAAAATGAGGTTAGAAATGCCCCTCAGCACTGATCTCCTGAAAAGCAATCAAATAAAATCACTTTATTTGCATTGATTTTCAGGAAAATAAATGGAAAATAGTGGAGATTAAACTTTTATAGTTTTCTAAGGTGAAAACAAGAGAAGTTGTTTCCTGATTTATCATGTTTGACTGTAGGAGCAGTTTCTGAGCTCTGGATGAATATTGAGGACAGATCACTGGTTTTCACTGGTTTTCACTGGTTTTTACTGGTTTTCACTGGTTTTTACTGGTTTTCACTGGTTTTCACTGGTTTTTACTGGTTTTCACAGGTTTTCACTGGTTTTCACTGGTTTTTACTGGTTTTTACTGGTTTTTACTGGTTTTTACTGGTTTTTACTGGTTTTCACTGGTTTTCACTGGTTTTTCTGGTTTTCACTGGTTTTCACAGGTTTTCACTGGTTTTTTAAATTTCATTTTTACTGTTTTTACATTTCTCTGCACCGCTGCTCCTGACATGTTCATAAAAACCCACTTCACTGCCTTTTGAATGTGTCATGAATAAAGTTTCTATTAAAACAAACAGAATCAGTTTTATTGTGACTTCATTGGTTTTTATGATCAGATTCTTTAAATCTGGGCGTAAAATGAGTTCATAATGCAGAATCACCTGAGTTTCATTATTATCACTCCTAGTTTTTCATTTTGAGTCATATGGTCAAGATTCATGGTTTAATGATTTTCCAGTTTTATGGTTTTTCTTTGGACTGACAGTCATTGTCCGTCATTTGCTGCTAAATCTGCTGGTTTAATATTGACCTTTAACCTCTCCCTTCAATCTCTGTTGATTATTGTTTTATGAACTCCAGGCTGGTGAACTGTGCTATTATAGATGAAAGTTGTCATACAGAAAAACTTTCACAAAAATGCAGAATAAATAGAAACAACTGATTTATTCACAAGATCTTCAACTGTCAGCTTAGAAAACAGCAAAATCTTGAGTTGGGCTGGTGACGTTCAACTGAAGTAAAGACAAAGAAACTAATAAGTTTAGAGGATTGTGAATCAGACCAGTAAAAGTGAACTCTGGTTCAGCAGCAGTGGGAGTGTTTATGCTGAAGTCCTGCCTGCTCAGTTAATCTCTAGTTCAGACAGACGAGGTCACAGAGACGAAACAACATGTTTTCCTTCACTTTCTTTCTGATTTTTGGGCTTTTAAACTTGTGGACATTTGCATCAAAAGGTGAGCGTCACTTTTACTCGCTTTCATTTCTTAATATTATATTTTATCCTCATGTTGTTATGAAAGATTTCACTTTGAAAAGGAGGCAAAGCAAAGTAATAAGTAATTGGTTATTATTTATTAATAACCAATAATAACAAAAACTAAATCTGTTTTTGTTCACCCCAAGGATGTTTAGACAAAATGCGTTTAGCCTTCAGATGAAACTGTAGAGAAGCAGAAAGTTATTTAAAAATAGCTTCAGAAGCTGGTGAGACCAGAAATATCCACGTATCTAATCTCTGTAAATGTATCACAGCTGCCAGGAACAAGGAGGTTAAAGAAAAACTAAAATGTTAAACTAGTTTTGTTGTATCAAAGATGGAGGCTCAGTTTCTGTTTTTGCTTGTCAAGCTGGATGAGTAACATTCTGATCTATGAACAAAAAATTCCTTTAAATCTGACGTCAATAGTCTGTCTGTCAATCTTTACTTTTGTTTTCCTGCATATTGACTCTGAATGTGTTCAATAACATCCATGAGACAAACCAATAACTTTTGCAGAAGGAATGCATCTTGAAGTTCAGGTTTGTGATTCTGTAAGTTTGAACTTTGGCACTGAGAGCACTCAGCTGGATGTCACAGCAGGAACCACAACAGGTTGTGAAAAGGTTCTCAGTGTTTCTCTAATACACTGAATGTCTAAATACCATTTGCAGAATCACAATGGAGAATTGTTCTACCAGTTCTGCACAGTTAGAGATTAAAAACTTACAATGTTTCTTTACAAAATAACTGCAGTTCAGTCAGACTGAACAAAGTACATTTGGAAACATTTCAAGTATCAGCACACATAATTGATGTATCGAAACCAGAGGTCACAAGCTGCAGCCGGGGGCGTGCCGCGGTGGTGCAGTGGGTTAGCACGCCCTACGTTTGGAGGCCCCAGTCCTTGACGCGGACGTCGCGGGTTCGACTCCCGGTGACCTTTGCAGCATGTCTTCTGCCTACTGTGGAAAATACGAGCCATGACATCTTTATGTCATGTATAATGAATCTTTACCGAATCTTCTGCTCTAGTTTAGCATCTTTTCAGTTAAATATTGATGTTTCAGTCAAACCTTTGGGTGAACTAACTACATTTATCCGACTGTCTGATGTTGCTAAGCCTTAAAAAGGTTGATGTTTTAAGATCCACTGTTTTCTCCTTCGTGTCTTTCAGACACTGAGGTCTCCTGCCAGTTTGGAACCGATTGCATCCTGACTTGCTCGTTTTTAAGTGGCGATCAGGTTGTCATCCATTGGATCCTTAACACCAAAGTACAAGTACACTCCTACTACTACAACGAGGATCAGCTGGGAAATCAGGACCAGCGATTTAAAGGCCGGACTTCGCTGTACCCTGAGCAGTTCTCTAGGGGCAACGCCTCGCTGCGGCTGAGCGACGTGAACGTTCAGGACGAAGGCAGATATCAGTGCTACACCAGCACCATCAGCGGAATCAAGGAGACTTACATCCAGTTAAAGGTTTACGGTACGAAAACATTCAAACACTGGCTTCCCTCGAACACTCAGCTGCATTTAAACATCTTTCCTAATGCAGACTGGCTGATTCACAGTCTGAAGTCCTTCATCATGTTAATCTCTGACACACCTTAAAAGCTGCATGTCTACATTGCTGACATAGTCAGGAGGTGCAGTTTAAGACCTTTAAAGGTGATCTATTATACTTCCTTTAACAGTTTAAGGCAAGTTTGTGGCCAAGAAATGCACAACTCATTCTAAGATAATTAGAGTTTAGTTTGGTTCTGCTTTCAGAATGAGCTGTTTCAGGGCGTCTGTCTCTTTAATTCCATCTTAACCTTTACAATCATGATGTGAAAATAGCCCCAAATAGATGCTCTATTACACAAATGTACATCTTTGAAAAGCAGAGGTGGAGCCTCCTGCACAACCAGCAAGAATGCAGCAAGTGGTATCTGGATGGCAAATCAACAACAAAACACTTGTTTGTCCAGCAGCCATTGTGCAGCGCAGACAGCAGAAGAACCAGCTGACCAAATGTGCTGTTTTGCCACTTGTGTTGCTTGGTAACGGGCTGGGTTCAGCTGGGGTTGCTAAGTAACGCTGCAGTGCCTACTGAATGTGACCTAATAATCTGGAGAGTTTTGAAAGGGCTCATTTTCCAGACACTAAGAAACATTAACTTATTGCTAAAGAAGAGCTGGGCTGTTTCAGAGGCAGTAGAGCCTCAATGGAATCATAAAAACATGCAAAATGTGATATTTTTTAATTATAGGTCCCATTTAAAATGAGACTGAAAAAGAAAAGAAAGGAGGCAGATGAAATTCAGAGTCCAGTAGAGCACTCATAAACTCTTTGAACCATCAGTACAAAGAAAAACTTTTAGCTATTATGTTTTTATAGAAACAGACAGGAGCATCTTAAAGGGTTTAGTTCAATGATTTTATTTTCCTTTAGGAGTCATAGTTACATTTCCAAGTAGGAAAAAACCCCAAAAGGTCAATTTTATGTCAGAAATTACAGAGAAAACATGGCGGTTTCTCACTAAGCTCTCACTCAAAATCCAACATGGCTGCTGCGTGTCTGAAACATAAACTGTTTGTTTCTCATTAAATCATCCAGATATTCCAACATGTCTGTAATTAAACATGTTTCTTTGGAGACTAAATACATAAGATCCAAGGAAAATACATTGCTATTGGAAGCTAGCATGTTAGCAAGCACACAAATTGCTTCATGTCTCTTAGAGTTGATACTGACATCAGAACATACAAGCATTATTTCAACACCTGTTCCTGTGAGTCGATTTAAAACTGCTGACGTTCAGAGCTTTGGCGTTTTTCTGTCAGAAACTGGTGAAGTTTGAAACTTTGTGTTTTGAAATCAGTTTGGATTTTAGATAAAACGTTTTTGTTCTCATGGTCGAGACGTCGGCCTGCACCTGGATGGATCCGCTGCCAGAAGAGGCTGATAAGGTTTTTGTTCAAGGCTGTGAACTTTAGAGCTGATACTGTGGAAAGTTACAACGTTAAATAAACTGTGAAGCTTTAATAAAGCAATGAGACTGGAATAATAAACCAAATAAAACACATTCATAATTCAGAATGAAAGCAGGAAACAACATGAAAAATTTAATCTGACGATTGAAACATGGAGAATGTAAAATTACAACTTTTTAATTTCGCAAAGTTAATTTTTAACATCAGACATCATTTGACAATTAATGAAGAAAATTCCTCCTGTATCAAATCCTTAGTTGCTAATAAACAAAAAAAAAAAAAAAAAAGAAAAGATTAAGCTTAAGTGGTTAAAATATATTTCAAGAATAAAACAGAAAGTAATTATTTCCTGAAACTATGACCAAAGTCCTCAGTAATGTCAGATCACCTGAAATATTTCAGAGATTCTTTCACTTCCAGTTTGGTGATGGTGTTCCTCAGGGCTCCATCTCAGGAAAACTACTTTGGATCTGTAATGCTGACATTAAAGATAAAAAATAAAAACTGTAGTTATGTCTTTTTTTGTCAATTTGTTTAGTTTCTGGGTAAATAATTATAAATAATCTCCAGACAATAGAAAACATCAAAATAAGTCATAAACTGTCAGTAAATCAATATAAACCACAGAAAAGTATATTGGATGCAACTCAAACTGTCTCTTAATTGGTTCCCAGGGGAACCAAGTTTGGTCTAAATTAGATTTTTCCTTCCAGACGCCAAACTATTTATTTCCTCTGACAGTGACTGGAAACATCCTGAGAGCCATGAGGAATCATACAGACTGGAAAACATTTATTTACAAACCAGGAACTAAAGACTGGAAAAGGAGCCATGATGAAATCATCAAACCAGAACACAGAAAATTTGAGTTCAACTCCATTAAATACAAGAACTGAATATGTTGATATCAATATCCAATAGAAACTAAATAATATCTGAAGCTGCATCACATCACAGGTTCATGTTTCTATGAATAGACCTGGAACGTTTTACTCAGGTTTAAATGTTTGGTTTCAGCTCCGATTCAGGAAGTCACCATCAGGAAGTTGGAGAATCATCTCCTCTGCCGTTCAGACGGGATCTACCCTGAACCCAAACTCACCTGGACCATCGGCTCCGAGTACAACCCACCGGAAAAACCCAGAATATCCAGAACCGAGTCTCAGCTTTACGACATCAGCAGCTCGATACCCTATGACCTGAACACCCATCAAGATGCTGCGACCTGCAGCATCAGCATCACAGCGACAGGCCAGAAGAAGAAAGCCACTGTGATGCAGGAGGGTGGGTGGGAACGTTCCCCTCTGCTGTTCATGTTGCTGCTCAGTTTACGCCTCGAGTTGT